ATTAGGTGATTCCTGGAAATTCACAGAAATTTACCCACAAAATGTTAACCACGCGGCGTCAAGGTCAAGGTCAGTTGCAGCTTGCAGACTGATGGGACGACCAGACCATCCATTGGGACTAAGAGATTGATGTAAAGAGGTAGAGGTGTCTACCATAGGTAGAGGATAACTAAAGGATAAGCATGGAGCTCCTATAGAGGTTGGGAGGAGAGTGAACAAACAGGAAAGGAAGACGTGAATGGTAAAGGTTTAGCAATAAATGGATAGTGGTCCCGATTCAGCTGTATCCAAATTGTTCCACTCAGTCCTCGCTCCCTCGAACACCCTGGTCCATACCATGGTTAGTCTGCGTTTGAAGTCTGCTGTCGAGTTGGCAGCAATGACTTCATCCGGCAGACTATTCTAATAATTCACAACTCTCGTTGCGAACGAGGACGCTCTCAGCCGAGTCCTCACTCTATCTTCATTCAGTTTTAGAGTGTGCCCCCTCAGGCTCATTGTTTCACTGAACTTGAGCGGCGTTCAATCTGGTACATCCACAATCCCTATCAGGATTTTGTTCGCTTCGATCAAGCCTTCGCGTCGCTTACGTCAGCTCAATGGGATAAGGTCTAAGTCTTCGAGACGCCTCTCGTAAGATGGACGTTTTAAGCTTGTAACCCATTTGCTGAAGCAGCACTGCACTGATTCTCGCGATTTCAAGTCCTGGATCAGAAAGCGGCTCCAAACCTGGACGCATTATTTGAGGTGCGGGTGCACACAAGCCCCTTGTGAAGAACGAGTATAACTTCGGGTTTCCTAGAGCACGTCTTAGTTGATGTAAGGCGTTGGATGTACGTCAACCAGTTCGCACCTGACTATCGCGTCACCAAAGCCAATAAAAATCCAGGAACAGTACACCATTGATCCGCATTTTTTGCGTACTGAATTATAGAAATGATTACAAAATATTCACTAAAACAACTTTCCAATATATGGTCAAAATACCTAAGGAAGCGTACGAAGTATGATTTCCAGATTGACCCAATCTGTCACTCACCCTATCTCACCACGTAAAATCCAACTGTGCCGGGCATCGAATTAACAGATAGAGAATGATGTATGGTGCTTGTGATTGAGAAATGTCAATAGAGATGCAACACACAAATAGGGTTATGTCACCTTGAATCATCATGATTTTTGAAGGATTTTCAAAAATTCAAAATGAGATACACCGGTCGCCAAAATCCTTCCTGCGTTCCTCTGTGTCAAAGGTTTGATGCAGGTCATTGATTCTTGTCTACCGGTCTACTTTCCTAGTTCCTGCTGTCAGGGCTTCTAATTACGAACTGATTAATCTTCGCTGCACTCGTCGATTTTGACTCCCGATGACTTGCACTTTTCTTCGTCGAGTCCTGCCCTCTGCATCAGCAAGCTTGCAGCCAGTCACACAATAAATGTATAACAGTGGGTTAAATGAATATCATTACAGATAAAGTCTCCATGTGTAAACAAGGAGGGGGAAATGTGGACGATGTAATTAATCTTCAAGTTTACAAATTTAATCATGTTCCCAATGTATGTGATAGTGTGTATGTGAACGGATGGATGTTATGAGGACATGGGTCACACCTTCGAGGTTCTTGCATAAATTTTGTACCAATCAAATAAGAAACACTCAGTCACGAAAATGAAATAAAGAGGACTTATGATAAGGACGTAGAAGCACGGGTTCGTACAGGTGGGGTGACTATCACTGGGGCGCAATTTTACAATGAAGCATGTATGTCTATTCAAGGTGTGTATCCACAACTTCATCACCTGACTGCATGGTAATCATCTCCCTCCGATAAACACAATTTTCGAATGTGGAAAACCTGTTCACCAACGGACGTTTTCAATTTCACCGTTCTTTCTAGTCCATCTGAGTCCGTGTGGCTTTCTATGACTACGCCCAGTGGCCAGTTGTCGCGATGTAGTTTTTCGTCAGCCATAAGAACAACGTCCCCAACCTTCAGTGACCGTCCCCTATGCAACCTATAAGAACAACGTCCCCAACCTTCAGTGACCGTCCTCTATGCAACCACTTCTGTCGAGCTAAAGGGTTGGCAGGTACTCTCTTGTCCAACGCTTCCAAAACACCCGTGCCAGGTAGTTCGCATGCTTCCAACCCGAGGTATAGCAGCCACCAATAGTTTTGGCATACTTAAACCATCAATGGACCTCAATAGCGGAAGGTCACTGGGAGTTGGCGTCAGTCCTTGCTAGTCATCGCTGGTGACGGTTACAAGCGGTCGACTTTTGAGCATCCTTTCGGCCTCTACGAGAAATACACTCAACGTTTCATCGTCCAGCGTCTGTTTTTCACATAATGCTATCAATGCTTTTCGTAACGATCGTACAAGCCGTTCCCAAACTCCTCCATGGTGATTGATGTGGGATGGTTGAAGTTCCATTGGGTTCTAGATGGCGACAGCCGGTCTTTCAGGGCGCATGTGTCTAACCGCGTCAACCAGTTGCTCAGTTACTTTCGTGCACTGGCAAAATTGGACTCGTTATCGGACAACACATCCGATTGGTTGCCTCGTCTACCCACGAATCTTTGCCAGGCCATAAGATAGGAGTCGGTCAACATGCAAAGCTCGTGACTGAAGGCATGTTATCAGGCATCCGTACCGTTTCTCAGTCAATGGTTTTCGTCTCACCCAAAGTAGCCCGAAGTAGTCCACTCCAGTTTCAGCGAAGCGCCATCAACCTGGTTGTACTCGGGAACTGGGTAACGAGGCCATCAATTGTTTACTGAATGCAGCATTCTGCCAACGACAAAAGAGGCAGTTGCCCAAGATGCGCTTCACCGTAGCTCTCTCTTTCACTTTCCAAAACCGACGGCGAATCGTATTGAGTAAGTGGTTTTGTTCTGCGTGCCCTTCTTGCATGTGAATATGTATGATGAGTGTGTGCATGATGTGGCAATTGTTGAGCAAGATGCTGGGGTGTTTAGCGTCAAAATTCAATGCAGAGTTTGTCAATCTACGACCTACTCTCCGCCAACCATCTACCAATATTGGAGTGAGTCTTCGGACAGAGCTGCAACGTAATTCACATCGATCGTAGTCAGGATTCCCGTTACCTAACCTCTGAAGATCTGACGGGAATACTTGTAATTGAACCATGCGAAAAACATCAGCTTCTGCTGTTTTCAATTCAGTTTGAACGATGGGTCCAATATTCAAGGTGTCGTCAGGTCGGATTCCTCTCATAATAGCGAGTTGTCGTTCGAATTTGGTCCACCAGACAACCACACTCAGCACCTTTGTCCATCGTGAAAAACGATGCAGTTTCTGCAGTAAGCTGTTGGTTGAAGCAGCGACTAAGATAACGGCCCTCGTTGTCGCTAGTAACTCCGTTGAGACAGGGAAAATCTGCGTGTCGGGACATTCGCTGGGCTGGTCTGTCAAGAAATCCGGTTCATGTAACCCTGATTTTATTTTCTCCAAGTTCAGCACACCACTGGAGCAGTAATCGGCTGAATTTTCACCGGATTTTATGTGCTGCCATTGAAACACTTCCGTTTCTTCGTTAATGACAGCTAACCGGTTGGAAAAAACTGTGCTGAAGCGCGTCCATACATTGTTAACATAGTGAAAAACTATAGCGAAATCAGTCCAGTAAGTTACGGTCCATTCAATTGAATGAAAACATCTTTTTAGCATCCTAGACACCCTCACGGCTAATACCGCTGCGGATAGTTCTAGCCTGGGTATTGAGACCACCTTCAGGGGAGCGACTCTTGCCTTGGCGAATAGTATACTCCTATGTCTCCTTCCACGTTGCCGAGACGAGAAACTGTAGGCCACTACCCCGAATCCAACCTCAGACTTGTCCGCAAAAACGTGTAACTCACTTTTCTCTTCTTTGTGTATTCCTGGCATGGGAAGACGGAGTCGCATATCGCCCAGCTTGCACAGTCTCAGCCACCAGCTTTGCCAGGTCTTGTAATCCGCTTCGCATAGGGTCTCATCGCAAGTAACCTTTTTTCTACACAAGTCCTCCAGCAGAATCTTGCTTGGAAGTAGCCACGATGCCACGAAACCCATTGAACCGTAAAGACTGGCCAACAAAGACAGAATTCATCTGCGAGTCGCCGTCTTTTCGGGTAGCTGGGGGTGGAACAAAACCTCATATTTCTCCGAATCCCATTGCACACCAAGTGCCCTGTCTGTTCGTAACGGACTTCTCTGTAAGTCAAGGATACTCGGTGACCGCTCATCAACTGGGATGTAATCAAATGACGGCTGTTGGACATCCACATAGTCAACTTGAACCCTCCTATGAGCAGTAGCTTGGACAAGTCGCTAGTGTGTCCAACTGCTTCCTCGATGCTATCGAAGGATCCCAGGAAGTCGTTCACATAAAAGTTACGTACAACAAAAGATCCCATCGAAGTTACAAAACGCTGGGAAAAGTTGTTCACTGTCGCTTTTAATGCGACGTTTGAACAGAAGGGAGGAGATATCCGCGGCAAATGGGTGCACCGTCATCCGATATTCCTGGGCAGGCCCGTCTAAGTATCCATCCGGCCACCACCACAACCGCAGAGTGTCCCTTTGCCCGTTGAGAACCTCAACCTGCATGAACATCTGCTCGATATCAGCCGCTGCCGCAACTGACCCTAGACAAAATCGGCACAATAACTCGATCAGCGGGGTCGTCAGATCTGGGCCTTGTAGTAGGCGGTCATTTAGGGCAATCCCGTCACACTTGGCAGCACAATCGAAGACAACCCTGGTCTTCTGAGGTTTCTTGGGGTTTATAACAGGGTGGTGCGGAAGGTACCACAATGGTTACTCTTTTTCGGCTTCTCCCATTGTGCGTTCGATATGTCCCAACTCTAGATTGCGCTTCATGGCGCTACAGTAGGCTTCCTTTAACTGCGCGTTCTTTTTTAATCGTTCCTTCAGATACTTGAACATATGGAGGGATATTTCTTGATTATCGATCAGTCAATTGAATCCCGTTCGCTAGGGTAACGACACTTCAAACTGGGTTCCACTGTGTCCTGTCGTTTCGGTGACAATAGCCAGGGCTGCTCGGTCTTCCCTCGATATAGATACCCGGTCGTCTGCGATGTCCCTGAACTCGTGAGTGTAAATCCACTCCAGGTCGTCTCCCATGGGATTATCTGGCCGCGAGATGTAGTTGATCGGGACTGAGTAATCACCATCATTACCGAGCGGTCCGCAGAGTATCCAACTAAACATCGTGCGCATAGCGTACGGATCACTATGACTTATCCTTTGGTCCAGAACCCAATTCCCCTCGGGTACATCACAGCTGCTCAATATGTCCACTCGTGTGTCCGGAAAATCCTCGAACGGTAAATCGCGAAGGTGAGGCCAGCGCCGCGCTAACGACCGGATATTGTCGAAAGCTCTCATTGGTAGGTCGGCGATAGTAAATGCCTGGCGCACCTCTATCGTATCTTCCCTCGATGTGGGAGCTAACTTCAAACTCAGTTGAGAAGCTCGAACTGCTCGTGCCCCATTTACCGTGCTGATTACCAATGAGGTGGTTTGTCCTTCCAGGTCGTGTTCTCGCGTAAAACTCTCTCTCACGAGGGTGGTATCCGATCCATTGTCTAGAAAAGCCACGGTTTGAACCAAACCAGGTGGAGTCTCCACTTGTATTGGTGTTATTCCCAAGCGGACCGGCCCACTTGACTCCCGTCCGATAGTGTTGATGGATTTCGGTGTACCCCCCGCAGCGTGTTCGTCGGTTCCATCGACCCGGCCGCTATTCGTTCGTTGCTCGACTCCTCCATCGTGGTGTAATAAGGATTGATGCCGAACGCTGCAATTGTCGTGACCACAGTTGGTTCGGTTTCTACAAAGGGCTGCTCTGTCGGTATCGCTGAAGCACACAAAGCAGAACGCTGTCTTTTTAGCTATTGTCCAACAGCCCATCACCTTCATTGCCAAAAGCTCTGGGCAGGTAACAAGCTTGTGGATACCTATGCACAGTTTGCACTTAGTCGGTTTTTATAGCTCATATGAGATTAAGTTGGTGCTCGCTCAGTTGTGTAGGGGAATGGGGACCTCGAGATCCAGGTGGAGCAAAGCTGGTTAAAGGTCTAGCGATCCTGATGCTTTCCCTCGCTAGTTGACCGAATCTACTACTTGCTATGCGAGATTGATAGCCTATGAATTCACTGAGTTTGTCAGAGTTTGCCTCTCTGTTCCTTTTCTCGATTCGATCGGCCTCGGTCTGCCTGCAGTTTGGCAGGCAAACATCTGACTATCGGTTTGAAGTGCATCCAAGTCCGAGCGATAATCGCGGTGGTTGAGGGCGATGCTGCAGTTCTGCATCTTGATGACCAAGTTTGATAGAGACCTATTATCGCTTCTTGTGCGTCTCGCTTCTGCCAGCACCTCATCAATCATGTTACGTGCCACTCGGAGTGGTTGGCTAAACAGCTCCTTCAGTATATTTCTCGCTCTCGAGTATCCCACTTCCGGGTCCAGCATTACACACCCTCGTATGGCTTCTTTGGCCTTCTCATGACAGTAGTGCAGCAAAAACAGAAATCTTTGTCCTGTATCTTCGGTTTTGCATTCAACGGAATTTTCGTATTGGCGAATAAATTGGCAATATTGTTCGAGATTGCCGTCGAAAGTTGTCCGTTCGACTCGTAGCAAATCAACGTTCACATGGGCATACGTTCTTTGCTTCAGAACGATTTGTTTATTCAGAGAATGGTAACTATGTGCAGTCTCAGCTCGAGGTTTTGTTGTGCCGTTGAAATCGTTCTTTTACGTTTGGCTTGCTCTATCTACTGTCTAGCTAATCTCAACTCATGCTCTAGTTTAGATACACGCAATCTAAATATATCAATATCCTTAATAACTGAATTCACACATGGAACAGCACTGACAGGACTAACAGGCCTAACATTTCATAAAAACTCAAAATGACCCACAGCCCCACCCCAGTGACTTGCCGGATTACCTCCTGTTGGGTTCCAGTTTCCTTGGTTCCTGTTCTGGGCATCTTCGAAATAGTTTTCTCGTTTGAATCCAATTTGAGTACTGTACGTTAACCAATTCGCACTTGAGTGACGCGTAGCCGAACCGATAAGAATACCGAATTAGACTAATGTCATCCTGAATCATTCTCTATTTGGAAAGAATTTCAAAAAAACAACATGAGATACACGGGCTGCAGCATATTGCTGCCTCTCGGCACTGGAGTTCTGATTTGAAGTCCGCACTAACACGGACACCCAGGTCTCCGGCCATGGTTTCCTTGGGTATCTGTTAAGACAGGACCGGAGGTACCAGTGTCCTGCCATCTTGCATGCCTCCAGTTCTGGTCAGCTGTTGACATTTCAGGGTATTCAGAGACAGGTCCTATTTAACTGACCATGCGTATATTTTGTCAAGATCCCTCTGGAGCGACTCTGGAGCGGACTCCCCGACGATTTTCACATCGTCTGCAAACTTGTAGCAGCTGTTTTCCAGGTCGGTGCTGAGGTCATTGATGTAGAGCAGAAAAAGTAGTGGACCTAAGACAGAGCCCTGTGGCACTCGACTGAGCACTCGTCCTTGTCTTGATATGCTATTCTCTACCTTCACTACAAACCTCCGACCTCTCAAGCAGCTGCGTATCCATTCTGGTAGTCCCGGAGGCAGCCCGAAAGCCTTCAACTTCATCGTCAGTAGTCTTTGATTAACGAAGTGGAACACCTTCAGGAAGTTTGAGTAGCAGACCTCAACTTCCGCCCCCTGTCTATCCTCTTAGTTACTTCATCCAGAAAACAGAAGAGGTTAGACAAGCACGACTTTCTCCTTCTGAACCCATGTTGGTCAGCCGTCAATGCACCTGAGTTTACCTCATGTTCAACGATCCTGGTACTCAGTGCTCTCTCCATGACTGTCAGCACTGCCAATTTCAGGCTGACTAGGCGATAGTTGGAGCACGAATTACGTTCTCCCCCTTGTGGATGAGAGGAATGTCGCCAAAAGCCAGTCCGTGGGTAGCTGGTTCTGTGCGATGAAGACATTGAATAGTCTGGCAAGGGACTCAGCCAAGTGGCTAGCCAGTGGTCTCAGGATAGCAGGGTGAATGCCATCTGGCCCTGCTGCCTTAGTTGGAATGAGCTCCCTTAAGACCCGACGCACTTCATCTGCAGAGATCACCACGTCAAGCATGACAGTTCTTTCATGGTTGCCGATGGTGGGCTCTGGTCTACCGTTGTCTGGTCTGTAAACCCCCTGGAAGTGGTTGAGGAGGGCTTCCGCCTCCTCTTAGTTGGACCAAGTTTGGTATCCCCTCGAGTCAACAGTCGCGCCTACTTCCTTTCTAAGGGTACTCTTGGACTGCACATAGGTAAAGTACGCCTTAGGGTTTTGTTTGGTGTTGACAGCCAAGCGTTTCTCGTACTTTTTGCTGCACTCCTTCTGGACTATAGTGGTCTCGCGTCTCGCTATCTTGTACCTTACGTGGGCGCGAAAACCTTCCGAGCTTCGATAGCGCTGCCACACTACCTGTTTGCGCTGCATTGCTTTCCTGACACACCCTCCACCAGGGCAGTGTGCCGCGGCATCTTAACCTATTTTCGGGTGCTACTTGGTTGGTCAGCTAAAGCAGATTACCCTTATTGCGCTCTCACTAAACTTGTACACGTTGTAGAGCACTCTCAGTCAACCAGTTTAACGCGCACACCCTTCGCTGCAGGTCCTCGGTGTCTATCTTGCTCCAGTGGCGTCGGATTTCTTCAAGAGCAGGTAGCCTCTGCATTCTGATGTTTATCCGTATAACCCCGTGGTATTTTTTGCCCTCCGGGTCTTCTACAACAACTCCCCGCACGTGGTTGGGAAAATGTGTACACACTAGGTCCAGAGTAGGAGCTATTTGCTGGAAGCTCTATCTGGTTTCCTTTGTCACATGTTGTATCGGAGTCCTACGAATCAAAACGTCGAATGGTCGTTCCCCGACCGTCCCCAGACGTGCCCTGTCGGTGGTTTAATCGATTTCCGGAGCGTTGAAGTCTCCTGCTTACAATACACGTTCACTAGATCCAGCCTGTTCACTTAGTAGCGCTAGCAGTAACTGATTCTCCTATATGGTGGCCGATTGGATCCTGTAGGCACCGATGACTGATAGCCGGTGTTGCAGTTTGCACAATGACCTCCACTGCTTGTACATTCGTGGTGTTGTGGTGACACCCTTTATGTTGGCTGTGTTGGGCGACTACGAGTACCAACAATCTCGCTCTGGTCCGTCCATTCTGGCAATCCACTCTGATGGGGATATTACTGGGAGGGCTCAGGTTACTAATTTCGTCATTTCAGTTCAGTATGCACAGGACGAAATGTGGCTTCTAGCCAATCGATCGTTCAGATTGTGGTGTTGTTGGCGGGCGTTTGTAGCTTCCAACACTGCACATTGCCAATTCCAGCGAGCTGCCGTTGGTGGGCCTAGTTGTCTCAGTCCTTAGTATGGGCTCCCAGCTGGGAAGTTTCTGAAAATAGACAGATGAGACTCAGCGGTCTAGGCCTGGGCCAAGCTGTCATAGGTTAGTATGAATGACTCTAACCCTGACCACTGACACCTGGCAGAATTGTCATAAAATATGAAAATACCTAACAGAAAACACTTTTCTCTAGCTTACCTCCACATCTGTAACATTATTTCTTACCGGCTGGAGTGCGTGAGTGTTTTCTCAGCTACTTACTTTTCAGTAGGCCGCTTCTGGGTAGAGGGTTCCCCAACACTCATCCAGGGTGGTCTTGAATGCCACTACAGTGCTGCATCTGACCACGTGTTCTGGAAGCCCATTCCACAGTGGGATCACCCTGTTGGTGAAGAACCTGGAATTGCAGCCTACTAGGATTACGCCGGAGTCTAAAGCTAAACCCCCTGGTGCCACTTTCCGTGATCGCAAAGAACAGTTCCTCGCTTCACAGGTCGGTGCTGAGGTCATTGATGAAGAGAAGAGATATCAGCGGAGGTTCGGGCAAATAGCTCCTACTCTGGACCTAGTGTGTACACATTTTCCCAACCACGTGCGGGGAGT